TGCTGCCACTGATGGAAATAATGTTGAAAATGATATTGCTTCTGACTCTGGTGGTGGTGAGATGGTGAGGATGGTGAGGATGGATGTTTGAGTCTTCCAGATCTCTGCTTTTTCTTCATCATACTTGGAACACAGTGAATCCTCATGAGAATAGGGAATATCCAAAATTCCTCCTTTCTAAGACTACTTTTTCAGTAGTGTTCTCTCACGAAGCTAGCTACAATTCCGGTGCATGTGGCCCACGGAGCTTACTCTGTTAATCAAAGTCAGGTCTATCTCTTTTGTTCTACTTGGGAAGAAGGAGCTCAGCTTGCCCTCCTGCTCCTCCAGGATCTGCTGCTTTCTCCTCTCCCACATTTCATCTCCCTCCATTGTCTTCTCTGCAGACTAAATTCTTAAGCTCTTGAAACAGAAAATTCTGGAAGATTTATGTAGATCAAGGCAATGGGTCAATGGATTCTGCAAAATTAGTAATTAGGTGTTTAACAAGTAGAGGGAGCTCAAGAGATGGCTCAGTGGTTAAGATCACACACTGCTCTACCAAAGAGTTCCATCCTCAGCACCCACATCAGGTGCTTCATACCAGCCCTTAACATCCAGAGGATCCGATGCCCCTCTAACCTCTGTGGGTACTGCATTCATGTACACAACTCTCCCTCTCCTTCTGCCCCTCCCTCTCCTTCTCCCCCTCCCTCTCCTTTTTCCCCTCTCTTCTTCCCTCCCTCAATCTTCCTGTCTGTCTCTCTCTCAGATGTGCACACGTGCGCTTAAATAATAAATATAAATATTTTTTCAAAAAGAAAAATTTAGAAAATGCAAAACTGTCTCCTAAAACTAAAATTCACAATAAGCACTTGTCACCAAAAACAAATCTACCCAATGGAGCCTGAAAAAATCAAGAACACTGGCCCTGTTTTATTTTTTTCATTTATATTAGAAACAAGCCTTTTTTTACATGTTAATCCCAGGTCCCTCTCCCTGCCCTCCTCCCCTGCTCCCCAGGGAGGGTGAGGCCTTCCATAGAGGATCTTCAAAGTCTGTCATCATTTGGAGCAGGGCTGAGAGAGTATCCCTCTATGTGGAATGAGCTCCCAAAGTCTATTCCTATACTAGGGATAAATACCAGAGGCTCCATAGATTGCACTGGCCCTGTTTTTTTTAACCTGTTGATATTCTTTCTATGCTGGGTTTTTGCACATTGTAATTTATTTAAATATTGCATTATGATTTTCTTGTTTGTTTGATTGGCTGGTGGTCTGTTTTCTTGTTATGGTGTGGAACTCAGGCCTTCACATGTGCTAGGTAAGTGTTCTACCACTTAGCTACATCTTCAGTCCTGTCTTTTAATTTTTATTTTGAGATACAGTGTCCTTGAGTTTCTTAAACTGACCTTAAACTCATTACATAGCCCAGGCAGGCAGGCCTGGAACTTGCAATCTCCTACCCCAGTATCCTGAATATCTAGGATTGCATTACTGCATTACCAACCCTTCTAGAAGTGGTTCCTTATGATCCTCAGCCTTTACCTCTGGAGTATCTCAACTTGCTCCATGATAGTCCCTGTCTTAGCTGGCAGTTACTAGTGTTCAAAAAATACCACAAATACAAAAAAAAAGCACAATTACATCCCCAATGAAACCAAAGAATGTTTTAGCCATTCTGTCAAAGCCACTTAAACTCTTGATTAAAACCCAGAGGTGAACTGGGTGATTTCCTAGGTAGGAGACCTTAGACTTCTGCTTCCTGTCTTCATCCCAAATGTTCTAGTTTATAAAACAGGAATAATAACAGCACCTTCAGCACAGCCCTCTCTTTACTGAGGTGCAGTTCTTCAGCAAGATGGACAGCCTTTTTCTGCAGTTTCTGCACAAGCGCATGTACTAGCTGTCCCTGGATTCCTTTAAATGTAGGTGTCATGGGGAATCTGGAAAACTTACTACTCTTTCTAATTTGGGAATAAGAACCAGCCTAAAAGGGAAATGAAGTCTAAGATGATGATGATGGTGATGACAACGACTTTGACATTGATAATAGTGTGATGATGACTCTATTGATAATATTCGAGCCTCTTGTCCTCTGATTTTTCTTTGACATGCCAGGGTACAGGTCTAGAAATCCTCTAGATTTCTAGTGCAAAATGCAGATCTCAAGGAGAAGCTGGAAATATTCGCTACTCTTTTAAGTTTGGGAATAAGAATTATGCCTCAAAGATAAATGAATAAAACATAAGAATGAATTCTGAGGTAAAGTCAGGCCTCACATCCAAGAAGAATGTTTGATGTCCAGCTCATTGAAGAACTACTAGTAACTGCAGGGGAGAATACCCAAGGTCTTTTGAAGGAGGGATGGAGCAAGTAGTAGATCACTTTCATTGCCACCATCTCACCCAATGTTGTGTAGAGCATTATATTTATGAAATACTCCACATTAGCTTGGTAAATAATGCAATCTTCCCACTAACCATAGTGACTTATTATTTTTGTGTTTGTCCACTTGTGGGTACATGTGCATGTGGAGGCCAGAGGTCAAGTTGGATTTCTTCTCTAACCCCTCCACCTTATTTCTTGAGACAGGATTTCTCATTGTACCTTAAGCTAAGTTGGCTGGCCAGCAACCCCTAGAGATACCCCTGCTTCTACCTCCCCAGCCTGGGGATGATAGGAGGGGCCTCTATGACTGGCTTTTATGGTGGCTGGAGATCTAAACTCAGAGCCCTTAAAAAATTAATCCACCTTTAAAAGATTTTACATGTGTATATATGAATGAGATATAGGCACCGTTACTATAAAACTGGTGTAGAATGGGCTCAAAATTTAACCAGGGCTCCTAATTCTAAGATCAGATATTTTTTCTTCTCATTTACATTGTTTCTGTTTTGTTTTGATTTTTTTCCTGTTATATGTTTCTTTGGGCTGGAAAAAGCCAACAGTTTTTAAAACACTGATTCTCTTGTTTGACCCAGCCTACCTTTGCCCTGGTGTTACAGGGAGGCACTTAACATTCATAAACCTGCCACTTCTTAAAATTAATTAGAAAACAGAAATTAACAAAAACAATGAATTTGCTTATAGTTTGGCCAAAATGAGAGGGGAGCTAGTCTCAGTTCCTCTTCAGTTTTTCTGTATCAGTGTTGTAATTTTATAGAAAATGATGAAAATAAGAACATCCAGGAAATCTGCCTATGTTAAGTTGTCAGCAGCATGAGGACTCTCTGGAGCAGGTCCCTTTTCAGGCTGGTACCAGGGCTTCAGCCTTTCCTTGCCACAGCCTGGACTGCAAAGGAAATTTCATTCTTAGGGATGCAGACCTCCACTAGAGTTTCATTAGCTCTCTAGAAAGTATGCCTCTGTATAATGTGTCCCCTCCTGCCAGGGTGACTATCTACTGCCATGAGTATATGTTCCAGGCCAGGAAGCACTTTAGTTCCCAGAAGAACCTCCCAGCTTTAAACTTTCTTTAGGGGAATGGTCACTAATATTAGAAGTGATTTTAAACAATGATATTGATGCTAGGGAAACATCTGCCACTCCCCGCCCCCAGAGCACGTATTTACAGTGTTGAGGCTGGCAGCTCTGCCAACTTACAGACTACTGTTTTCATTGATAAAGACATTTGATGCTCTGTGAGGAGCATGAGTATGTGAGGGCAAGAAAGGGAGACATCAGAGCAATGTTAAAAGGGTGTCTCATCTACTCTTCCAGTCGTGGTGATAAAAAACACTTTGACAAAAGCAAGGATTCATCTTAACTCAAGTTCAAAGGGATAGTTCACCACAGCCACAACCATGCAACAGGAATGAGTGCGTGCCGTGCACTTCCCTTCATTTATGTACTCCAGATCCCAGCCAGGGAGGGCCCACAATATGTGCATCTTCACACCTCAGTTAACCTGACCAAGATAACGCCTCACAGAGTTACCCAGGGGTTTGTCTTTTAGGTGACTCTAGATTTCATCAAGTCAACAACTGAGATGAACTGTTACAGTGGGCCAGGCTTATGCACAGGTGCCCATGAAGGTACTGGAGTATAAAAACCCGAGGGTTCCAAATCTTCTGGAAGATATTGTTGGAAGAGGACAGGATGACTGTGTATCCACATTTTATCTGGATTTCTTGAAGATCCGCTTGTGCCAGTTAGTTGGGGGTTTTGTTTGTCTGTTTTGTTTTGTTGTCAACTTGACACAAAGTAGGGTCATCTAGGACGAGGGAACCTTGATTGAGAAAATGCTTCCATCAGATTGGCCTATAAGCAAGTCTGTGGGGCATTTTCAATAATTTATGTGGGAGGGCTCAGCCCACAGTTGGTAGTACCATATCTGGGCAAGTCATCCTGTAAAGTAAAAGACAGGTGACATGACACCAGAAAGCAAGCCAACAGACAGCATTCCTCCATGGGTTCTGCCTCAGTTCCTGCCTACGGTTCCTGTCCTGCTTAAGTTCTTGCTGTGGCTTCCCTCATGGATGGACTGTGATCAAGATGTGTGATTGGGACATATAAGACACTTAAACACTTTCTACCCAAATTCCTTTTGGTCTTGGTGTTTATCAAGCAACAGAAAGCAAAGTAACATACTCTCCTACCTGAGCAAGTGACTTCATCAAGGTCTTAAAAACAAAGCCAAGATGCTCATGACATGTCTAAAAGTCCAGTACTTCTCAGGAAGCAGAGGCAGGAGGATGGATGTTAGTTGGAGTCCAGTCTTTGCTGTACAGCAAGATGTAGGCTAGTCAGAGCTACACAGTAAAACACTGCCCCAAAGAAACAAACAAAACAGTGAAACCTGACCCAGGATACTCTGCTTTTCCCACCCAATTAAAAAAACAATGATTTGGGGCAACTGCTAGCTGCCTGCAGCTAATCACTGCTTTAGGATGATGCTCCCCAGCTAGGGCTCCCACCAAACCATCAGGAAATTACAAAGCTTATAACTCAAGCACAATTTTATTCTTGACTACAGATTCCTTTCTACATGAAGACGTATTTGTGACAGCACGGCACAGGTGATACTCTGAGCAGAAAGCTCAAGGACAAACAGCAGATGGCAGATTGCAGATGGCTATCCCTATTCACCCGGTGAAGGGGAAGATTGAGCAGAGCAAGACTAGCAGGTAAACTGAGGCTGGAGGGGACAGGCCAAGATCAAGGAGAGGAGACAGAAGAAGCTACATGGGGGATTCCCATGGTACAGGATCATGGCTGCCTCTACAAGCAGCACCCTGGGGTCCCTCCCTCTGCCCAAGAGTACCACAGCATCAGTGAGAAGGTTTGCTGACTGGGTCCCCAAGAACAAAGCACAAACGTACTTCCCACAGCAAGAGCACAGACACACAAGCAGAGAGCAGAGCAGCCGGGGATCAGGGGTTTATTTTCAGCCCAAGACACAGTGCCAGCTCAGACTTCTGAATCTTTCCATCCTTGTTCACATCACAGTGGCGAAGCAGAATCTCCCGGAACTTATCAAGATCCACACCGCTGATGCTGGGCTGAGGATAAGAGGACACAGTCATTCAGAAGGCCAGTAGCAATCCCAGACTTCAGCACCCTCCCTAAGTCCCCTAAGCTTTGGGAATTTAGAAGTGGGGCAGATGAGGGGCCATAAAGAGCCAGGGACAGCTACTGTCTCTTTATCTCACCCAGGGTCCCTAACATCTGCTGGCGGTGGCTTGATTTCTTAGCCTGCACTTTCAGGCGTAGTAAATAAACATTTTTGAAGTCTTATTTCCACATCGATTGCCATGGTTATTTCAGAAAAGTCTGCTTTATAAGCAATTGGATTGAAGACAGTTTGTCCCAAAGAAGTCTTTGTCTTTATGACAATGAGGGAAGACATGTTTATTATTGTCCATGGGATGTTTAGTGCCTCTAGTTTAAAGAGGGTTCATACACAATAAAAATCCAGTTTCCATGTTACATATCAAAGTAGCAACTGAAGATTTAGTCCAAGTGTGTTTCCAGACTAAGGAGGGACAATTATACCTGCACCCAGGGAAGCATTTGAAGCTTCCAGGGTGCACACAGCACAGTACCAGAGTGACTCCCGTCACATACTTCATCCCCTCTTCACAGTTGCCCAGGTGGGAAATAGTGACAGCCTTTGCCCAGACTAGGAAAGAGGCTCCAGAGAACTCAGCCTTCTTCCCAGAGGGGAGACCTGGTGCTTTCATGCAGGGTCTCTGGCTGACAGAGCTCTGGTCTATCTGGTCTACCACCTCACACAGCTCTAGAGAAAGCTAGGGAAGGGGGATGAATTGAAACTGAAAAACTGATACCAAAGAGAAGAAAATCAGTGAGCTGGATGTTCATTCTTCTTCATTACCCGAGTGAGGTGAAGAAACGGCAGCTTTCTTCCAGAGACTTCTGAGTCCCTGGGAAGCACTCCCCATCGCCCCCAACCCTGCCTTAAGCTTTCTTCTCTTCCAAAGAAACCTCTCAAATATCTTCAGTAGGAGACAAAACCTCCCATTCCCAAACTAGAGACACAACCAGGAAGGCTAATCAGCACTCCAGCAGGGACAATGACCTACAGGTACCACATCTGTCCTGACTGTGGCTTTAAAGAGGGAGGGAGAGAAAAGAGCCCCTGAACTAAAGGAACACGAGGCTGGGCTAGGGGTGGGAGGGGCTGGGGACCTCTCACACCTATCAGAACACCCTCAGTGATCAGGCTGCAAAGACAAGATGAAATGCATTGTTACCAAGTTCCTTTCTTTGGGCTCAGAAAGTATAGAGTCCTGGGTCTCGGTACTAGGCAGGCATGTTGCAACTTGATGAAATATGGCTTGGAAGTCTACAGCAAGCTGTACAAGAAGTCCTGTGAAGAACTCATCTTTGTACAGATGCAAAGTGGAGATGTCTGGTCTTCAGCATCTTTAATAACTCACTGCTATAGCTTTTGTCTCCAATAAGTGGTATCCTTATGGCAAATCCTTATGCTCAGAGAAGATTGGAGTGGTAGACATTTACATCTAAGTATGAATCATTTGCCAGTGTCTTTACCTCATGCAAATTATTCTAACCTTTCTATTCCTAGTTGAAAAATAGTATATTTTATTTCAGAATAATTATTTCCTTCAAGTAAGTGAGAAATGTTTGGGGTATTAGAATAGTGGGAAGTAACGAGGAAGGGAAGCTGTATGAGAAATTCCACTGTATCATGTAAGTTATGTTTTTAATTCTGAACATATCACTATGAGTTAGGAAAGCTAAATATCACTACTTTAAAATCTTTGGATCACTTAAGACAAACCACAGAAGCCACAGAGCCTTCATCTTTAAGACTGCCTTAATAGCAGCAAGTCAACAACACAGGAGTGCTTTTAGATTCCTGGCATAGGGGCTCTACAAACATAATCTCAAATCTTCAAAGCATAGGAGGTTTATAAAGATTCAGACTTAATTATGGGCAAGTAAACTACATCTCAGAGAGACCATCTAACCTGCCCGCTCTCATGCAGGTGTCTTAGGGTCAGAATGCTGACTCAGCAGTCAGCCCGCGATCATACTGTAAGCATTCGTTTTAAAAGTAGACCTTTTCTCTCATCTGCCTCAAAGGACCACCTGACACTAGGCTCAGAGCAATTGACTGAAAACTGCTGATCTGCCTCTCATGAGCCTTGGGAATTAGGATATTTCAAGACTGGTCCCCCGCCCCCATGCATGCTCATAGCCTGTGCTTTTCCCTCCTATCTGCGGATTTGTGAGTCACCCTGTCCCTCAATGTCATCTTCAGGTTTCATCATACCCCATACCTTCTGCATTCCAACTCCCCTGAAAGAATGCAGCCAGTGTCTGGCCCATCAGCCAGCAGGCCCAAGTCTCTGTGCTAGGTATCCTGGAGCACAAGCCCTGTACACTAGAGACCTGGACTATGACTCACAGGCCCTGTATATGTTATGATCACCAGAGGCCTGGACTATGGCTCAAGGCTCTGTACATATTATGAACACTAGTGGCCTAGACTATATATGGAGTTCAAGATCAGGCTATCCAACTTAGTGAGACTCTGTTTCACAGTATAAATAAAAGCAAGCTGGATTTTAGTGCAGTAGCCAAGTGCTTGCCCAGCATAAGTGAGCTCTAGTCTTCGATCCCCATTATGGCAAGCAAAAGAAAAGACAAGCAGGAGAGGAAACATATCTGTAGATGCTAAATGACACCCACAATCACCTTGCCAGCTAGTGGTGAACCTGGACCTGGAACAGAGGTAGTCATCCTGGAACTGGAACTCTTAGCCCATATTCTTCTTGACTTCCTAAATTTTGCTTTATTTTTGATAATTTAAAAAAATATGGATGTGTGTGTGTGTGTGTGTGTGTGTGTGTGTGTGTGTGTGGGAAAAAAGAGGATATAGGTCTCCTGGAGCTGGAGTTACAGGTGATTGGGTGGTTGTGAGTCACCCACTATGAATGCTGGAAACCGCATTCTGGTCCTCAACAAGAGCAAAACGTGTTCTTAATTGCTGAGCTATCTTTCCATTTCTTCAATATTTTTATATGCAGAGATAATTTAAAATCAGAAAAGGAATCATATACTTTAAAACTATGGTGAGTCAGTTGCCCCTAGACACAGCCATTCTGTCCTGGAGGCTTTCTTGCACACCTTTGGCATACTAGTATTTCAGATAGGATTATACCTTATGATGTGGTCATTCATTGAGTTAAAGATTCCTTTTGGGAAACTTCCTCTTATATGTTTGTAATTTTCCAGATCAGAAATGCACTCTAATGGTAATAGCTGATTTGTTCTGAAACAGTAATAGAGACTGAATTTGGGAAGTCATATTGTCTTCAGGGACCATGGTAAGAATCTACAGCATCCCCAGTTACCACCTAGCCTTGGTTGGCAAGTCTCACTGAGCACCTCTTATGGGTGACAAGTTGGGCAACGCAAGGTTTGAGAAACATATCCACAGACATAAAACTTATAAATAGTTGATCTGGAATAGAGTTCTGCTATGTTGGACAGAAATATTTCCAAGCAAAGAAGAAAGGATGAGAAGAAGAGATGGCAGATGACATGGGAGAGGGAGGATCAAACACTGACTATCTAGAGAGTGCTTTCCAAGGTCTATACCGGAGAGGAGTTTGGCACAGCTCTAGTTGGGTCTCCACATGTGATGCTCAGCCCCATGTGGTACTCACAGGAGGGATGGAAGAGCAAGCGCTCTGTCTGATTATGGAAGCCCTAGGACTACACTCAGTCAGGACCCTGGTTCTGTTACAAAGAGGAAACCAGGCAGCTTGCACTCCCATTCAATCTATCAGAGCAAACTAAAATTCTGGTTGGGTCAACATATCTGCCATGAAACTTTAATATCCCAGAGATGACTTTCTCATCCTCATCCCCTGGGGATGAGGATGGTAAGTAGGGAGCCACAGGTGACATGCCAGTGATCCTGACTGAACATCAGACAGAACTGTGCCTGTGTCTGCTCAGCCACAGAGTGCCAACTTCCTAGAGATCTGTGCAAAATATGGATAACTGGTCCCTCTGTTACAAGGTTTCCTAGTTTTAATTATATTTGCAAATAATTCGGAGACTTCAAAAGTAATTAATAGCTGTTACTTTAATTTGTTGCTGTCTTAAACAGCCAGTATGCAATCATCGTGTATCTAATAATGTACTTCAAAGTAATCCCTAAGTACACAGACTACTAAATCTACTGTCTACACGGCTGCCTGGAGGAAGAGAGATTAGAACTGTCCATGTAAGGAGATTATAAACAGGTATAGAGAATAAAGTTTAAAAGAAGGAGACTGACATTTTAGAAACATTGTCTACCCTACAGAAAACAACCATGTGATATAATAAAACCTAAGCCACCTCAGTCAGACTCAGCAATGTCATACAGTAAGTGTCCTTGCTAGGCTGGATATTTGAAAAACCCCTTGATGGAAACAAGCCTTATATGAAATTAAATTTAAAATTAAAGTTATTGGAATGATGAACTCTAAGAAAGGCACATGGAGGCGAGGAAAGGCTCTGAACAACTGAGAAATAAAACAGTAAAATACACAGTGACACTGGGCTACTTGGGAAAAGTTAATGACTTTAAAATGACGTTTTAAAAACACTTCTATGTTAATTACGTGTTATTTTAATTCATGTGATCTTAAGAAAATGAAAGGATTGCTGAGTCTCACAGAATCTTAATGGTTATGAAATAAAAAATGTCTCCAGACCTTTCTCTCTGGTATTAATCTTCAGCCTCGCTCATTCCCAGAAATAAACAATGCACTTTGTCACAATGTCTCCCCCAATGCATGATGGGAATAACCCTTCCAGCCTCATGAACTCACCTGGACCAGCTCCATCATGTCTTTGACAAATCCGTCCACTTCTGGGCCTTCCAAGGCTCCAGTTTTACTCTGAAGGACAAAAGGATCCAATCACTCAAATATCATTTTGTTAGTTCAAAAAGCTAAAGAATAAATTTGACAAATTGACCAATCAGTGTTCATTTGCAACTACCAACCAATTTAGAAATGGGGTGCTCTGTTTTTTATTCTCAGGGGATATGAGTGCCCTGCATGAATGAATAGAATCCCTCATCAACAGCTTCCTGCCCCCCAAAGGGAAGCATTGCTCTGAACTCCTCAGCAAACAGCATTGCCATGGAATTACTGGCATCTGCTTCCCACATACTGGCTTCTGATCAGGGAAGTGTTAATTATACAACAATCACTCTTAGAAGACAGGATGGACATTTAAATTGTTTGCTTTATAACTGAGCAATCATTTGGTCACTAGTGAAAGTGGTAAACTTTAAATAGAGGGAGGCTATATTGAATAAGTATATGAAACATTTTTTTTCTGAATATGAGACATTTTCCCTAATCATTCTGTAATCTGTGTAAACATGAAATTAAAATGAAGTATAGACATTCAAACATGTCCATTTTTCCCTAAAGTACCTGTTATAATAATGCCTTCCCCCCACAATGTTTTTAACGGGGTATTTATTTTTAGTTTATATGTATTGGTGCTCTGCCTGCCTGTTTATCTCTGCACCATTTGTGTGCCTGTGCCCTTGGTGGTTGGAAGAGGGTATCAGAACCCCCTAGAACTAGAGTTGCAGACAGTTGTGAGCTGCCATGTGGGTGCTGGGAATTGAACATGGGTCTTCCAGAAGAGCAGCTATTGCTGTTAGCCCCTGAGCCATCTCTCTAGCCCCTGCCTACTTCTTAACTTTTCAGACAAGGTCTCACTCTGTAATCCATCTTAGTCCTGAACTCACAGCAAATACTTCACACTGCACCTCAGCTTTCTGAGTTCTGGGATTAGAGGCATGAGCTGGCACCCCCGAGTCCCATCTATTCCCCCATGTTGTCTTTGCCCTCGCTCTTTAACGTGTTATTTGAAAACTCCGGCCTTTACCAGATTAACTAGCAGGTCATGAGCACCAAACTCTTCTGTAAAAGCTTTACAAATGTAGTTCACACAGCTCTCACCGCTCCATCAGATCCACTCTTATCCTGATCTTCTCTAGCTTTACAGAGAAGAGGGGAAAGGCAGGGAGATGCCAGGCAGTGGTGGCTCATGCCTTTCTTTAATCCCAGCACTCTCAGATCTCTGAGTTTGAGGCCAGCCTTGTCTACAGAGTAAATTACAGGACATCCAGGACTACACAAGAAACCCTGTCTCAGAAAAGGGGGGGGCAGGTAAAATAGAGAAGTTGAGGTATCTATCCCAGGTCACAAGAATGAGAAGTTCAGATGGAAAGCTGGGCCACAGACACAAAGTAAATACCTTAGTGCTGCATTGCCCGGGTACAGTGCTGCTCAGAATGAAGCCCAGGTCTTCTGGGTCATTCATTTCATGGAGAGGGTTCTTAGGACATTCCCCACCTTTTTGCTCATTTCCCCTCTTTCTCACATTATCCCAGAAATCTCCAGAAATCTCCCTTGATCTTCAGAAATTCAACCCTGTGCCATTTAGGGTTCTAGAATGATATCCCCACCTGTCTTAGTTAGGGTTTCTATGGCTGATATGAAACACCATGACCAAAGAGCAAGTTAAGGAGAAAAGAGTTAATTTGGCTTACACTTCCAGATCATAATCCATCATTGGAGGAGGTCAGAGCAGGAACACAAGCAGAAGCTGTGTTCCAGAAGCAGAAGCTTCTGGAAGCAGAAGCTGATGCAGAGGGCAGGGCAGGGTGCTACTTACTGACTTGGTTCCCAAGACTTACTCAGCCTGTTTTCTTAAACAACTCAGGACCAGCAGCCCGGGAAGGCACCACCCACAATGGGCTGGGCCCTCCCCCACTGATCACTAATTTAGAAAATGCATTACAGCTGGATCTCATGGAGGCCTTTCCTCAACTGAGGCTCCTTTCTCTCTGACTCCAGCCTGTATCAACTTGACACACAGAACCAGCCAGTACACTATCTGAAGAATGTCTGTACAATCACTCTACAAGAGAAATCATTTCACACTTTGTGTGTGTGTGTGTGTGTGTGTGTGTGTGTGTGCAGGGGTGGGGGTTGGGGGAGTTCTGGTTGTTCCCATCTTTTGGCACACACAATAAATGGATGTCTGGTCTTACAAGGAGGATCTTTCTCATGGTTTTACAAGCTAAAAAGGCATTCTGAGTTCCTCTCTGTTCAACTATAAATCAGCCTCACCCATTCTTTCATCATCCAACATGTTCACGGCACCTTGACATAATATCACATACAGGGGACTGCCATTCACTGTTCCAGTTTAGATTTTGTCAGGAGGATGCTGCCACACTGGAACAAAGTGAGTTTTCTGCCTAAAGATGGCTTCAAAGCATGAAGAACACTTACAACATCATAATGGGCGAAGATTTTCTCAAAGTCCCTCTTCCTCTCTTCAGTAGAAGAAGCCTGGGTGCAAAGAAAACATTATGTCAATCCAGCAATGCATAGCCACTGGTATGTAACTCCCATAGGGTGTTGGGCAACCCTTATAAACTCCGAATCAATGACTCTTAAACTTTCTTGATTCCTCTAAAAGTGTTAAAAGACAAATGGATGTCTGCTGTTAGAGTTTGAATGGGGAATGTCCCCTATAGGCTCTGTGTTTGCAGTTTGTTGTCAGTTGGTGGCTCTTTTTTGGGAGGCTATAAAACTATGAGAAGATGAGGCCTTGCTGGAAGAAGTGAGTCACCAAGTAGCAAGTGTTTAGGTTTTAAAGTACAGCCCAACTTCCTACTGGGTCCTCTGCTTCCTGCTCTACCCAGATGTAAGCAAGCTCCCATTTCCACAGCTACAAGCTGCTCCTGCCACTGTGCCTCCCTGACCATGATGGCCATGATGTACTGTATCTATATAACTGTGAGCCAATATAAATCTTCCCTCCCTTCTCTTCCTTGCCAGATTTTTTACCATAGTGACAAGAAAAATAACTAATTTACTTTCTTTCCTTCCTGCTTTCCAGATACATAAAGAAACAAGGGTAGCAGAAACCCATCAAGAGAAATGTCATCACTTACATCCATTTTAAATTGGAGAAGGAAGTTTTCCTGAAGAGCCAGAATCCTAAATGGGAAAAAGAATAGAATCCACATGACCCTCTGTAAGCTCTCCCATCTATCAGTAAATGCACAACTCTGTGGAGAGGAAATAGTTGATGGTTTCCGAATTATCCTGAAGAACTGCACAGAAGCTTAGAATACAGGAATTCCTACACCATAAATGCAAGGAGAGTGACGGGCAAATTTCCCAGTGATTAACCTTCACTATACAAAGCTTTAAAGACCCTTCCTGGTGGGAAATCATAGACCGCAGGCTTATGAAAGTTTGCCCCACGAAAGCAATGAGAAAAATGGAAAGAACTGTCAGAGCAAGATTTGCAGAACTATGAAAACTCATTTAAAGCCTTTGGCAGTCTGGGTAGTGTTTGTTCTGTAAAAACAGTGGAAACAACACAGTATGGTAGTGCAGGTCAGTCAGCCCAGCACTCTGGATACCGAGACAGAAGACTCTTCAGTTTGAAATCACCTGGGCCTCAAAGACACTGTCTCCAGGAAGCAAAATAAAACAAAAACAAAAGGAAGAAAACAAGAAACGTTGTAGCATTCTGTTTACCCACTTGTGCACTGAGCCCCTGAGAAGTGACTGGAAATTCATTGTTCCAGACATTTAAGGAAGCCTTGGATGGGAATATGGCTTAGCCGTAGAGGGCTAACCTAGCATGGGCCAAGCCCTGCCTGCTATGCCTGGCTCCCACTTCATCCACAACAAAACAAAAGCAACCTCTTTCTGGTCACAAATTGACCATTAAGCTGCCCAAGAATAGATTTCAGTGGATATATACAATGAAGAGGATAGACTGTATGGAACTAGTTCAGAAATTCCACCAAATAAATGAACAACAAAAGTGCCACCGCCAGCAATATGTCCTAAATGGAAAACTAAGCAGAGTCCTCAGCCTGAAGTGAGAAGGCACTAGGCACAAACTTGAGTTCCTGTGAAGAATCGAAAGCATCAGTAAGAGTAAGTGCAAGAGCAATTATAAAAGGCAGCACGAGGCTGGGCGTTGATGGCACACGCCTTTAATCCCAGCACTTAGGAGGCAGAGGCAAGCGGATCTCTGTGAGTTTGAGACCAGCCTGGTCTCCTGAGCGAGTGCCAGGATAGGCTCCAAAGCTACACAGAGAAACCTTGTCTCGAAAAACAAAAACAACAACAACAAAATAAAATAATTAAATAAAAAAATAAAAGGCAGCACAAGGGCCTGGAGAGGCAGCTCAGTGATTAAGAGCACTGGCTGCTCGTATAGAGGATCCAGTTTCAATTGAAAGAACATGATAGCTCACAACCTTCTGTAACTCCAGTTCCTGAGGATCTGGAGCCTTCTCACAGCTTTCAAAGGTACTAGGCATGAAAGTAGTGCACATACAGGCAGCCGAAACATTCATACGTACACATTTCAAAGGGGGGGGATTAATGCCATTTTAGTTGTTTACAAAGTTTTAGCCTCGTCAAACAATTATCCAAAATGTGTGCCCCAGGCACCTGATATACTGACTGGTACTCAGAAGGATGCTTTGAACATAGTAGTTCAGGGCCACCCTAGACAACACAGCAATAACCTATTGAGAAAAAGAAGAAAGAGAGAGAACAGAGAGAGCAATGAATGAATGAAGGAAGGAATGAAGAAGAGAGGAGGGAGGGCAGGAAGAAAGGAAGGAAGGAAAAGAAAGAAAGGAAGAAAGAAAGGAAGGAAAGAAGAGTGTGTGTGTGTGTGTGTGTGTGTGAGAGAGAGAGAGAGAGAGAGAGAGAGAGAGAGAGAGAATAAATAGGTGTTGAGAACACAGGATATAATGATGTGATTTGGAGGCCATAAAGAACATGGGGGATTTAACTGTAGTTTGAAACTGTAAACAAGCACAAATTTACTATAATGCTGAAATTAAGCTGCTATTGATCCTATTTGTTAATGGTAATCTCCCAGAGAACCACTAAGAAAATAACCCAGAATGACACAGCCATATCTGATGGGAATGGCAAAAGCCATAAAGCCAACACAACTGCTTGACAAAGATCCAGCAAAACTGAGATGCATGATGGCCACCGTGCCACTTTTGCTTTTGGTCTCCTTGTATTACATGTTTGTGGGGGGGGCAGGCAGGCTTTTAATAATTGTACAATTTGGGGATATTGGATTGATGGTAATTTTTTATGAATCATTTATGCCTTCTCCCAAGACTACTGTTTCTAAGTTTCCCCAGGAAAGTCCTGAGCATTCTACCACTCCTGCTTTTAGGGAGATATTCTTATCTTTTTGAAGACCTTCCTCATGCTTTGGAGGTTGTGTCACACATAAAGAAGCCTGAGTTCTCTGTATGACGCTCTGATACATTCTTGAAACATCTGTTCCTGGACTTACTGAGGAACAAGATAATCACAACAAAGTAACTTAAAAGGTCAACAAGATTTGGTGAGAAATTGGTAACAGATCCAATTTCCAGCCTCTTCCAGCTATACACTGAGGCGATTATGTCGCATATATAGCAACAAAATTAGATTACCTGAAGTTACCTCTGCCCTACACAGGAGCTTATATTGATGGACAAAGAATGATGCAGAAAGAGGATAAAAAGAATGAGATGTCAGGACCTCCCCTCCTTAGAAAAGTTAGTTGTGTGGAGCCACTTGTGTCTTATGGCCAAGGAACAAAAGAATGTCAAGATTAAGCATATAAATAAATTCTATAAATATATAAGATATCAATATCATATTATGCCAGGAACTGAATAATAACTGCAGCATCTTTGGCCTTATATTTGAGGATATTTCTTGGGCATTCTGACTTTTAAGAGTTAATAATACACTGCTTGGGACATGGCAATCTTCCCAGGCTGGCTTAGAGCTTTTCTTTCTGTCTAATGTCCTTGAAGCCACAAAAGCTACCAGCCTGAAAGCAGGCTGTCATATGCCTCTAAAATTTCTTAAAAATTGGGTTTTGGGGTTGATAAGTAAAAATGATAAAAGATAACTTTGTTATAAAAGAGCTATAAGAGGTAATTCTGTTTATCAATGATGACTAAACTTGAGGGGAAATGATTGTAAAAAGATAACGCTGTTCTGTCATGGTTCATCAATGGTGAATAAATTTGTGGCCCCAGATGTGCAAGAGAAAAAGTTAAACACATGTCTAGAAAACAAAAATTATATGATCTACATTTTGGAACAACATGAATCTATCCCTGCTTATGGACTTCTGTTAAATAAAGAAGCATTCTGATTGCTAGTTAGTCAGGCTGCAAAGATTCTTGGCACCACCACTGACCCGGCTCCCTCCCTCCCTCCCCCACTCTTGCCTCCTCTCTGGAACCTGTCAACTGCTGGTCCCTGGCACCAAAAGTTGTAAATAGTGAAAGAAACAATAAGAGAATGAAAATAGTTCACTATAAAATATTTATTTAACATAAGATAGAAAGGAGAAACCACACAGATAAACACAGAAAAATAGCAAACATCAATCCTTACATCATTAGTAATCACATTAAACATTTATGGGTTCATTGCTCCGTTAGAAGCAGAGACTAGAAAAATGCAAAGGAAGAAACAGACTATTGCTATTTGCAAGTGGTAAAATCATCAATAAAATCCAAAGAACCAAACAAAAACCTATTCAAGCTAATAAGCAAGATCAGCACAGTTACAGAAGACAAAATCAACACAGAACACTCATTCAATTGCATTTCTGTCCACTAGAAATGACCAAAGCAAAACTGCAAACCTGAAATCACAGCAATCTGGAGATTGTGGCAGGAATAGCATGAGCTTAAGGCCAGCCTGCCTGGACTACATAGAGAAACCTTGTATCAAAAACAAAAAGAAATGGAGGGAAGGGAATGAAGAGGGAGAAAAAGAAACAGGAAGGAAGAAGGGAAGGAGGAAGTGAAGGAGAGGGGGAGAGGAGAAGAGGAAAACAAAACAGAACTGTCATGATTTGAACGAGAAATTTCCCTCCACATGATCATGTGTTTGAACATGTGGTACCCAGTTAATGGTGTCATTCTGAGGTCTGTTAAGGAACCTTTAGGCGGTGTGGCCTTACTAGAGGGAGCTCATCACTAAAGGAATGTTTTAGTGATCTTGTAGCCTCACCACACTTCCTGTTCTCTCCCTACTCCTTCCTGTGTATGGATGACAATGTGACCAGACAGCCTCCTGCTCCTGCTGCCTTGCCTTCCTGACCATTGTAGACTCTATCTCTCTTGAACTGTAAGTTGAAATAAACCCTTTCTTAAGTTGTTTTTGGTCAAGGTGTTCTATCACAGCAACAAGAAAGAACTAAGATCCAAAGCACCAGTCCCCATAAGACATCATCTAAAAGAAGCAAATGATTGAGAATAAATTGAACAATGATAGGCTCAACTTATAGATTGACAATTCCAAAGTATCTTCTAGAGAAACTAAAGACCTGGAAAGATGGAAAGACAACTGTTGCTTATAAACTTGAAGACAATGTTGTTAGGAAGACAATACTTTCCAGTTTGAATAGCAGATTCAGAACAAAAATCCATGGAAATCTGAGTTGCCTTTATGTAGAAACTGACTTATCTAGTGATAAAATTATACCAAGATATGCAAATGGACCCAGAATAGCCTAAACAATCTTTAAAAAGAACAAGATTGGAGGACTCTACACTTTTAAAACTTATTACAAATCTCCAGTAATCAGGGCAGTGTAGAAACTACTATTTCCATTTGGCAGTGTCATGGAAAATTAAATATAGAATTGCCATTTGAACCAAAATTCTACTTCCAAGATTATAAACAAGGGAGAGGCTTGTCACACTCACATAGTAGCACTGTTCATAGTATCTAAAGAGTAGAAACAATCCAAGTGTATGTCATGCGATAAAGGAACAAAATACAGAGTGTGTGTAACAGAGTACCTAGCCACAACAAGAAATTCATGGGCCAGTGGTCAGTCACAACAGAGACACATCTTTCAAAACATTATTGTGATATAGCTAGACATAAAAAGTGCATGCATGATTCTATTTATATTCATATTTCTCTTTGCATGTATGCACATGTGTGCGTGGTGTGTGTGTGTGTGTGTGTGTGTGTGTGTGTGTGTGT